TCTAGTGGCTGCACTGCTTAACTTTCATATAGATTTAAACAAGAAATCCCACCGGTATCAAAACCAACCTTGTCACCAACTGAGGTGAGAGGGATAGAAAGGTTGATTTTGTTTAATGAGTTCACACTGTGCACAACAGGAGTGACCCTAATCTCTTAAAAGCAGTTACAGTTCTAAATAATCCTCAATAAATCCAAATACCACTCTTTTCATAGACATCTCCAGGTCTGCCTAAGTATATGGAGTTTTCTTCATTACACAACAGATCCAACTGCTATTTATAAATAACAGAATTCTCATGTGTCGTATGAGTAAATCCAAATGTGGGTTTACCTTCCTCTCCTGCACAGTATCATCTCCAACTTCCTCTGGCCAAATCTGATTAATCTGATCACATGTCCTTGAGATATAAAGTGGTACACCTGTAAAACATAAAATTCTCAACTCCTCAAACTACCAGCTCTCTCAGAGGGCAAGGAGAAAGCAACATTTTAAAACACCTTTTTGGAAGATAATCTGAAGTCTGAAAGGTCAGGGATGCAAAAAAAAATTGGCTGATTATACACTGCTTTAAAGCAGATTTGATTCTCAAATATCAGTTATGTTTAAGAGACTACTATATGGACTAATGCACTTTTTGGTTCACTTTGTGATTTTAAATATATCAAAGTAAATGTATTGAAAAAAAACAGCTGCCACAGAGAGGCAAATTCATAGAGCTGATTTATGTACCTATGTTTCTTACACGCTGTGTAGAAGCCAGATTTCTTAACTAAGACTCAAAAAACAAAAATCCAAAACATACAACTGAAAACCACGCTGAGATTTCTTAACTAAGACTCAAAAAACAAAAATCCAAAACACACAACTGAAAACCACGCTGGGACTTAGCTAGATAACAGGAAAAAATAAAAATAAACAATTATTTTCTTTATGAGTGGGGAATATAAAGAACTGAGAAATTGAGTGTCACAACCCAAAGTACATTTAAGGCACTTGCCTAGAAAGAAGGTTCTTTATCAGCCCCAGTCCCTTGCTTCTTTCTTCCTTAACCTATAATTTTCTGCTATAAAACATATCCAGGAACTCGAGTAACACAGCTAGCACCCAAGGTGCTGTAACATATCTTCAGTATAGCACTCTCCAGGAACTTGGGTACAAGCCAGGTGGGTGTAGACTCTACTCATCCTACTGCCTGAGCGAGTGCAACCCCCAGGCTATTACACCAAAGACAACCACCACATAAAGCACGGTCTCAGCACGCAAAGCACAACGAGACTCAAAAAAAAGGGCTGGCTGCACCCAGAGAAGAACATAACCAGAGAAGAGCTACAGGCATTTCTGAGACCAGTTCTGCCAGAAGAGAAGCCCAGCAAAGTAACATCGGAAAACTATGGGGAAATTTATCAGAAAACTTCAGTTTTCCGTGTGTCCCAAGGCAGCCAAGAGATCTCCCAAACTTAATGCTCTTTCCCAAGAACCTGCCAAGGTACACCTAAGATACCTAAAGGAGTTGTTGAATGTCTCCCTGACACATTGCTGTTGACCAGTAGTTATTATTGGTCAAACAGCTACACTTTATATTTGAACATTCTTTTACAGAAGACACTGTTGTTGAATATTACTGCAGTGATTTTTATCTTTTTTTAAACTACTGCTATGGTAAGCATCTCCATTACTCACTTGCCATAAAAGTCCCTATCTGCTGTTAAATCTCGTAGTGCTATTGAAATTTTCTAGATTAGGTGTAAAATTTGCATTCCTATTAAAATAATGAGTAAATTGTTATTAATGTGCTGCTTACCAGTACACAAAAATTATTCACCAAGATGACTAAGGTTGCTTATGTCTGATCTGAAAATATGTGAGTGGTCAAAGAATCTCTTTAACGCATTGGCAATTACTGGTGCAATTTTTACAGAACGTTGTTTTAAAAAAATAATTATTTGAACTAACCATTCTAACCATTTCTGTGCATGAGAAAAGGATATTCTCTAAATTGAAGGATTTGTGCTTTCACATGATCTTCACAGACTTGTCGCAGTTGTTTGTACAGCGTAGCAGAGACTTTGTAAGAACAGAGATTTTCAACAGCCTAAAAACAAACAAACAAGATTATGAATGAGACAAAAAGAACTCAAAGTTTTGTCCCTGTGCAATCAAAGTCAACAAAGAAGGAAAAAAAAAGAAACAAATCAGTATATTCTGTCCAAGCTGTGCATAAAAACAAAACATCAAAATGAAATTATCCAAACTACGTAGAGAAACTAAGACTTCACGATTCCTTTCTGATTTTGGTCCCTTTTTATACTGCTAGGTTTCATGTATAAACAAGGTCCACTATCCACCTGGGTCCTATTTCAGATGTGCTGTTAAAATAACTAGAATTTTCCCCCCTCAAATACTGCTCAGCAGCAAAACTCTTTCTGCAGGTCCATTTTGTGCCTTCTCCCAGCGCATGCACACATGCTCTTTTTTAGGGGGGCACACAATCATAATAAATATTTTCACTTCTAGTAACTTTAAGGTAGACGTTTCAACCACTCTCTCTAAATGATAAACCAGCTGCTTTCCTGTCATTTTATTAATTGATTTCTTTCCAAATACTTCCACACGTTCATGCTAAGGTATGTAAACTGAGGGGAAATAATAATAATAATGATAATAATACAAACACCAAAACACAATAACAAAAAAACTCACATTAACCATTAGATAAAGACTTGAATTGATTTACTGAAACACTGAGACAACATGGAATTTAGTGGAGTATTTGTCCACAGTTGACTAAGATGACTGATTCTGCCCACAGCCAAGTGTTCTCGTAGTCACTACATTAATGTAAACTGAGTTGTTATGCAGTTTACCGAGACTACACCGAGACAGCTTTGGCCATCTCTGAAATACTGCTGTTTAGCTATTCAGTAATTATGTTGTCTTACACTAACATTTTTTTCCTTGCAGGAAATTCAATGAGAATGCCAAAGAGAAAATGCAGCCTTGCTTGATACCACCGCCTATATTTAGACTGTTCCAGGCACACTTTGTGTGCTGTATTTCAATAAGTTATTTTATTAATAGACCATAGCATCTGAAATGAATCACAATGAAGACAGCCAAATGTTCTGTGAGAACTGTAAAGTTTACAGTAAGTATTTTTGGCCATTCAGTGCTTCACACAAAATTACCCAGAGGAATTTCACATGATTTTCAGAACTAAAAATCCAGCTGTCTTTTCCTCTAATTTCGCCTCAACTGACTTTATGCTATGAGGTGATACTGAAAAGAACACTGACTAAGATTTAAAAGCCCTACTTCACCTGGGTAACTAAAACTGACCCAAGAATGTGTTCCTTTGCTCCAGAGGACTTAAGAGTATCACAATTTTGCTGACAAATTTTCTGATAGCAATGAACTCAGACATAGCATCAGTATTTTCCCAGTCCTTGGCCTTTACACAGGCTTCCCCAAATTTGAACTTTTTTTTTTGTGTGCCTTATATATTTGCAATAATGAATGTTACGGTGCCTAATGCCAACATGTAACTCTTTGTCAGAGTATTAGTAAATGTTCTTCACTCTTCAGTTTAAGATGACCCAAACCTGAGGGTATGTGGGCCACGGGAGAGGTGAGGGGGAAAGCAGGGCTGCTTCTTTTGGCAACAGTGCTGGTTTAAAGTATATCTCAAACTGCAGCTGCATCATCTCAGTGCTATCTCTACTAGTTGTTTCTGCCTTTTTTTTTTTGGATGGAGGAATGTGAAAGCCAGTAATTTCCTCCTTCTTCACCTCTTGCTTCACTCAGAGTTTTTGCTGCTTCTCTTCCCAAAGAAATTTGATCTGACTTTTTTTTCATGCTGCACACAATCGATTTTTGGAAAAAACTACAGTAATTATCGCATCTACAAGGATATAAGAAAAAGAACAATTCATCACCTACACAAATCTAGTAAAAGTTATATGATTCTGTTTCAAATCAACTTTTCAATCACTTGTTTCTTTCAGTCTTCTCTTTTAACATTCAGCATGCAAATTATTGCTGCTTCTTATATTATTTCCTCTATAGGTTCTAGCACCCTGAAGAGCTTGTCTTCCGAAACACAAGGCAAATCTGCTTCCCAGAGACCTCCCCCATAGGGTAATTCTAACCTACCTGATGTCATTTTATATAAATGCATGTCAACTGTGGCTTCCTCAATTTTGACATAATATTGAAGGAAGCAAGCAAACAAACAGAACTATCACACAGTCTCTGTTATGTTTTTCATCTGGTCTTAAAACAAGTAGGTAAAATGACATCTGCAACAAACAATATTCACACTTAATCATTTTGCGGGTAGCCTGTTTTGTTTCCTAAGACATAGTCCTTCCTATCCATCCATCCAAATAAAAGTCTGGTCAAGATTCTCATAAATATTTTTTTCCTTCACTACTACACTGTCCTACTCTATGTCCTCCAGAAGGGCAGTGCTGCCCCATTTCAGATTATTTAGGACCTTGCTGCAAAGGGAATTTTCTTTTTCCATTATTTTTATCGCTCAGTCCTCACTTGGCAATTCTTTGCACTGCCCCACTTTCTCTTTCCCATCGAGCATAAGCTACTCCTGTCAAAACCTGTGCAATCTACCACCAATCCCAGACATCATTTCTATTTTAGTCACAAAATATTGGCTGCCACCCTCTCATTGCTCACTGACTACATCTCTGCCAAGCACCTTCGTGCCCGATCCCATGCTGCCTCTAATGTCTGGAAAGGAGTATCCTTCGGGCTTCCCACAAAGCCTTGTCATTGTTCTTCAGCTTTTTCCTCAGCTACTGTGCCAAATTAAATAAATAAATCAGAAAGTTCAAAGGCGGGCTGGTACACCAGCCCTCTCGCCACACTGAACTCTAGGAGGCCTCTCACTTCCTCCTATAACATCAGATAAAGACTAAAAAAAACCAAAACCAAACAAAAAATCACCAAAACACAAACCAACCCTGATAATAAGAACTGATGCACACAAGAGAAATTTCCCCCTGTGGACAACTTGGTGTCCACCAACAGGCAGTTAAAACGATCTGTAAGTACAGATCAGGTTTCTGATGGATGCTGAACTTCATCTTTTATTCCTCTGGCAGGAGAGTAAGGACCTATCTGTGCACAGGCACACCGACCGCCACCACCCACCAGGCAGAAATCTCGCTGATTTGCACTGCTGCCTTATTGGACTGGCCTTGCACAGGTTTTACAAACAAGGAGGCAAATGGAAAAAGTAAGAAGTACAGTTCTCCCTTCAGAATTTATCTGAAATCTCTCTCCTCCTCTTCTGCCAAATTCCAAGTCTGTACCCTGGCGATTTCATAGCCATATTACTATAATCTCATTTCTGAGCCTCTGAAAACAAGTTAGGTAACACTCAAAGCATCTATGGGTTGGTTTTTTTTTTTAAGCTAGGCACAAAAAAGCAGGGGTTTTCAAATGTTGAGTTTAAAGCCATAAAATGTATTATATAATTCAAACTCTGCAAGTATTAATAGATTAATACATCACAGCCAAGTTATCTGTTTAAAGGGAATTAATTATGTTAAGTAAACATACATTTACATGATCAGTCATTTTAGGCACATATAATAATATAATGGGGCTAACTAATCACAGAGACAAGTAGAGTCAGCTTTCAAATTCATCCTGATTTCCTTGAGCATGGACCCAACACAGACTGCTGGCTTTCCTCTCCTTCACTGTCTGCACTTTGCATACAAGATCAAACCTGCCTCAACAGAACACCCCAAAAATCTTAGGCGCGAATAGTAATGTCTTAAGTCCTGATCTGGCAATGAGAGCCACGTCTGCAGATCAAACACCTGCACTCACAGAAAATTCATAACTAATTTGAGCCATGTAGCACAGCTTAGCGCATCAGTAACTTTTTATAACATCACCACTGTAAAAATTACTACTTTAAATCCTTCAAAGTACATTTGAAATAGTACAGAACTAAACCATATATAAGTGGAGACAGCAGAAAGAAATGGCTCCTGAGTATTATTATAGCCCCTGCTCCAGTAGTCTAGATGTTCCAGAAATACTTTTTCACCATTTTAATTAAAAAAAAAAATTAAGATCCTGATTATTATGAAGTGGAACAGTAATCTGAAAAACAAGTTAACTGACAGCTTGTTGCCTGCTCAGTCAAGATTCATTTTTAGTTTTCCCAAGCATATTGATGCTGAAGTCTAATTGTTATTATTTAATAATAATATTTCAACATTGCTATTCACATGAGACCACAGCATATACAAGAGAGAAATCATCATAAAATATGTATCTGCATAACCCAGCAAGAACAATATCCCATTTTCAACAACTTGAGTAGGCACTGTATTGAAGAGACAGAGACAAATCCACATCTCCCAACATAAACTGCTTTTTCATGGGCCTGGATCCTTGTAGCACTCCAAGGAACAACTATGTAAAACTGCAAACTGACTAGAAAGAGAGTCTGAAGCAAACAGTTGAGAAAATATAATCAGCTTTTAACAAATCAAAACATACTATGTCAACTGCATAGCGCTGTGAAAGTTTCTCCTGTTAAACTGAAAGAAAGCCCCAAACCCTTCCTGCCTTACCTGGTAGAGCTCTTCGAGGTTGTATTTAATAGAAATGCTACTCTGTATCGCTCCCACAGCTTCATGAAGTTTCTGCCAGGTATCCTGAGTATAATTATCTGGTAATTTGGGTCTTTCTGTGAAGGAAGACACAGGCAGTCGGAAAACCAGCCTCCCAAACGGGGAACCTGCAACCAACCCTCCTCACCCCGGCTTCATTAACTTCTGCCAAGCGACGCCGCGCCCGGTGGTTTCAGGCTGGCACAAGCAGAGGGGTCACTAACTCCACCTAAAAGTCAACGAAACCTTGGCACGGTGCGTTTGACCCCGCACCCGGCAGGACCCGCATAAACCCGGGGCGGGCCGGAGCGCGGAGCCTGCCCGGCGAAGGGCAGAGCCAGCACCG